GCACATTCCCAGGGTCCGGTGTGCGGCTCGCGATCATTCCACACATGTTGCGACGTGCCCCAGGGGAAAACTGAGAACACTGTGAAAAACCCTTCCGCATTAATTGATCGCTTGATTAATTGAATCTCCGGTTTCGGAGAGGCGGTTGTGTATCTGAGGGCGATGCGTAAGGCTGTAAGTTGGGAAAGTGATGAGGGTGTGGAGATATTCACGGCTGTCGGTGAAATAGGGAACTCGGGTCCCGATCATAGAGGGTTTGAGCCCCTTTCTAGATTACAATATATTTAATTCGTCTAGCACGTCCAGTATGAACCCTGGATATACGGTTTCCACAATTTACCCAGCTCTTTCCATAAATTCACACCTGGTGTAGTGCGAGAACTGCTTGGGCTTTAGGTTTCCTTTCCTGTTCACCAGAATTTACTTTTGAAAGCGATCGGGGGCGCGTCTTCATAAATTATCACAAAGTCAAAAAGAAAATCTCTGATCAACTTTGTTTGTGCTCGAGTATACAAGTTAGACTGATTGCCTTAGTTTAGATGAGGGCCAATTCATACATGAGTAAATATGTCATTAAGGTACACTTCATCCATAAAATTATGAGACAAAAAAAGTCTGCAACTACTCTTTAGTGAGCTTTTTAGCCACTTGTGGACCGAAATAATATTTGATGACAATTGAGCTTGACCCTGAAGCTTTATTTATTAGGCTTATTTAGCCTAACTATATATATTAAAATAAAATAATACGCAGCCTAGGCCTACTGCTTATTAATAAATTGTTATTAATGAATTGTGTTAAAATCCACTTATTCGTAAAACAAAAAATACTCAATCCTTTTGTTTTACAAATTATTTTTGAAGCAGGATATGCGACTCATGCGCCACAACATTTCTGCACAAATAAGCAAAACGTTTGCAATGTCAAACATCCGCCCAAACACACTTATGTTCGCGTCTTCAAGTCGTCCAATCACATGTTGTAGTATGGCTACTTATAGCCACATTGACTGTTTCTGGTTTGATAAAAAACACCTATTTGGTTGACTCTGCATCTTAACGATTTGAGAGTAGCCTACTTTAGTGTTTTCATAAGCAATTAGTAATGCCTATGGCTTTTTTTAAATAAATGCATAAAATAAAATTCTTAATAAAAGTTGCATGAAATGGTATATAGGCCTATATATAATTATTTAAATATAATTGTACTATATCACTATGTTTGCGAAAAAGACGATGATTTAGAATGCGATAGAAAGTTATCTCTTTTTCTCTGAAATATGATTTTGCACACATTTGGCACATAACTGGGTCTATTCTTAGGAGAGCTGGATACCTGTCAGTTCCTGCGTGCGCATAGCTGCTGTTAACGTTTTAAATCTTAGCCACTGTGTGTGTTGTCGGACAGATGAGAGAGATTTGGCCTGCTTAACACATTTGAACATTCTTCGTCATGGACGACAGCCAGTCAAGGTTGTTCTGAATCCTTGACAAGCGATTCCCGAGACAGACAGGCCTACACCTGGGGTCCATGTTTCTGAAATAAAGTGATTTCAAATTGTGTGATTTATCACTTCAAGGCCGATGTCCATCATTAATTAATCGATCACTGTCTTTCTGTTCGTTTTTCTCAGAACAGGAACGTATTTTGCGCTTCCAAATAGCTGTCAGTGTCACACGAAGGAGACGCGCACGCCATGTAGCAGCTGTAGCTTTCGGATACTTTCGGATGGTCTTTATACATGATGCATACAGTATAGAGACACATTGCAGTTTAATTGAAAGCCTAACATATTAAGTCATGTAGTGGATGTCGGTGAATTGTTGTCTTGATCAATGCAGCACTGGCGTTCTTCAGCACAAATAGCTGCTCGTATTTTTTAAAAGCAAAGTTGTCACGCGCCTTTGGAACCAGAGGGTCAACACAATGAGTTTTCAAAGAGAAAAAGAAAAAAAGATAAAAGAGTGCTAGGCCTAATGCCCTTATATTTGTTTATCAGACAGTCAGTTGTGATATTGCAAATGTGAGTGTTTAAATACATCTGACTTCGAATCATGATCTGCTGACGCGCATTTTGTGAAATCTTACTCAGAAAGCCAAGCCAGATGTAACTTTCTATGCTTTGAAGTTTACGTAAGAATATTCATATGCGCCCATGTCAACTATAACATATGCCTAACAGGTCCAAGCAAGGATACATGTTTGAATAGGAAAACACATGTAGTGCTGTACGGTATAGACAGCGGCACAGGCCAGGGAGAGAAGGGGGGGAAAGGGAGAGAGAATCCCTCTCTCTTTCTCTCTCCTCTCTCTCACTCTCTCTCTCCCACGCTATGTGCCCTGGCAGACAAATCATGAAATTTCCCTCCAGGTTTCGTCTCAACGTTGAAAAACAGATGCAAAAGAAATCGCCGTCCGTGATTCCATTCTCCATTTGTGCCAAACACAACATTCCATGATGAACCTATGGGTGGAACAATTAGCAAGGGGGGTTTCATCCCATTTATCCTTAATTAAACATGTAAAATGAAGGCAAACCATGTGTTTTAGAAGATACACAAGAGAGTACATCATCGTGTCAAGTACGCTGGCACTATGGCAATAGCTGGTAGAGATCATCTTCTTTTTAAGGAAAAAAAAGATAACTCATTATTGCAGGCCCATCGAGATTTTATCCCAATTCTATTTCCACTGTAATCCGAGTTAGAATTGTGCAATGAGAATTAAATCACATGGGACGTGAACTAAAGCGAACCCTATAATGATCATTTAATGAAAAATTCTGTTTTATGGCGCAATAATTACAACCATTCGTGTTTATCAGTTGACCCGACATATGTCACAGAATAACGAGGCAAAGTGCGCCCGCAGAACAGGGAACGGAAATTGCATTTTTTTTAAACTAAAATAACGGTTTTCCAGCTGGCCACCTACATGGCCTTAAGCTGTTTTTTTTTTTTCAATCTTATGTTTTACCCAGTCGCAATTGTCAAACTTGATGTGCCTCATTAGACGTATTAATTATGGCTAATCAATGAATATGTAAAACTGCAATGAACTTTCCCCAATTAGTTTTGTGTCATGCTGTAGGCTATATTTTATGCACCATGATAGGAAATAAAACAAAGCATATATATATATATATATATATATATATATATATATATATATATATATATATATATATATATATATATATATACTGCAGACTTTTCAAAATGTCAGATTTGGATGTTTTGCCAATTTCACCCAACGCGCTCTTCTGAAAAACGCCTAAACGGCCGTGCAGATTTATAATTAAATACTGAAATCAATATTATTCCTATATGTAAGGGAATGTGGACGAATATATTCCTTAACCTAAGCTAAATAATGTTTCTGGATTGTTTGACAAGATTTGCGGTGAGCGCGCAGACAAATGATCTCATTATCCTTAAATTACGCGTAGCCTTCCGGCAATTTTGTTCTGTTCACAGATCATCCAGCCCATCCGCATCTGACAGGTAACCTGTTTTTCAGTCACGTATTTTATAGCCATGTTACTGTACATTTTGTCTATTTTATATCATCTATTTAGCCCATTTATTTGTCTGATATAAAATAAAAAATGAAGAAATAAGCGTTTAAAACAAAAATGAAATTCTTTATAATACAGGATACATTCAGATATTTATTTTTTGTCATACAATTACAAGTTGTAGTAGAAAGTATAGGATTCAGAAATAATTATCCAATGGTGTTTGCTCTGATTTTTTAAAAATGTGCATTTAAATTAGGACGAAGTATATGTATGTTTATGCATTTATTAACCATTTTCTTGTTATAGATCTACTTTTAGGAGACCAACACGACTGAAAATATTTGGACTTAGTAATGTAGTGCTCGGAATTAAAAAATAACATTGACTATGAAGCAGGCAAACCACTAAAACATCTTAAAATATATATAATAAGTTTTTTGACTGTAAAACAAATTAAAACTTTGTAATGTTATGATGTAAAGAAGTACTATAGATACTGTGATAATACAATTTGTTGAAATATAAAATAAAATAATACCATGCAATAAGTATATAAGCTTTACAATTTTTTTTTAATTTAAGAAATCCTTTATATATTAAGGATCTGTAACAGAACTTTTGCAAACTACATTAGCACCATCACCAGTTAAAACTAATCAACAGGTCAGTGCGTTATTCTAAATTTAAATCTCTTGTCAGCAGTCTTAAGCAAGCCTGTTTTAATTTAGGCAGAGAAGCATACACAAGAGCAAAACTTAGTTTACCTACCATGTGCGTGTCGATGCGGGTTGCCGGTGTAGCCGCGTCCTGGTTGATCAATAAGAGCACAACAAGTGGACAGATATTCAGGCGGAGCAGCGTGAGGTCCTGCTGCGCTCAATGCGCCGCGGCAGGGTTACGTATCACCCTGACGTCAACTCCTCCACAGGACACACGCTGAATGCCTGTACATGCATTAAGCACAAGAAGCATGAATGCACTAAAACGAAAGACAAACTTGATTCTCTGACTCTTCAGCTGAGAAAATATCACCTATGGCAATTTTGGTTATGCGCCGTGATCTTGAACCTGAACCCCTGCGGGCGCCAATTCAAAGTTCAATGCGCAATTGAAACAACACTTTGGGTAACCCCAAGAACGAGGCGCTCCCTCTCTGGAGAGGATCTAAAGCTGACACATATGGAAATAGTGAGTAAGGGTGAGGCAAAGAGAGAGAGAGAGAGAGTGAAAAAAGAACAACTGAATTGAAAGGGAAACAAAAGAAACTCTCCCAGAGCGGTCCCATAAAACTGATTGATGACTTCCCTGGAGGACTGTTTCCCAGGTGTATGCTAGTTTGTACCAATGCTATATCAAGGTTTGATATTTTTGGATGATTGTCAAATACAACAAACTTAATTGAGAGATGAACTGGTACAATTGAACACATCACATATTCTTGGCATTCTTTCACCCCACAGATCAGTTTGACTGTCTGCTGGATCTATTACGCCATGTGATATTGAAAGAAAGCTGGAGAAAGTCCAGACATTGAGACAGACAAGGAGAGTGTTTGAGAGACGTGAGCAGCAAGAGCAAATGTCACCAAATGGAGGTGAGAGCTACTGTGGTCAGACTGCAAAATAACACCAATCTCCAGGTGTTCAGAACAAAGCATCTATAGAATGGCACTTCATTTATCAGCATGATCAAGTTATGGATTTCATTTATTGTTTAAAGGAGGAAAAAAAAAGTCCAGTGCTTAAGTATTAGTCTTTGATTGCAATTAGAGGTTCTGTAACCTTTTTAAATATTAAAGCCAGCTTTAGTCATTTATCACTGAGCTTTTTTTCTCTCTCTCTTTCTTCTTTTGTTGTCTGAACGTGTCTCATTTCCACTCATTTCATCCTTAATTAAGATTCAAGTATTTGATGATGCAAACAGTGCAAAACTGTGTTTGATTTCGAAACAGCTGCTTGTTAGAGCTTTGTTTTTCCTAGAGACGAAAGGAAGTCAGAATCCTTGGCGTAATTTCTATTTTGATTTCAAATGAAACACGTCATTTTTAATTCCATGGATACATATTTCATAACTGTTTGAATCAGCTAACACACACAATAACATTCCACATTTAAAGAATAATCATACCAGCAAAAATGTGCTTTATGATACAATATGGCAGAAATTAAGGCATGGACAAAATTATAATTGTTATTTTTTATTATTGTTACTATGATTATTATTAACAATTCAATTCGTCTTTATTTCTATAGTGCGTTTACAATGTAAAGCAGCTTTGTTAAAGCAGCTGAACACTTTAACTGCCTGCTCTACCAAATGGTTGACCAAGTTTTTATTGTTTTAAATAATGACTGTTAAAGTCATTTATAGAATGACTGTTTAAATAATGGTTTACACACACAATATTGTTGGTTTATAAACAATTAAAACAAGCACAATCCTGTTGTACTACACTTGATTTTGGTTTTATTGTAAAAAAAATAAATATACAAATAAAACAATGTAAATGAGAATCTGAATTATTTCATGGCTTACTTTTAAAAAAATCTTTATTTTTGAAGTATGCCATTAAATATTTCGGATTCTCTGATTTAGTATTCACAATGTTTTATTTTGATTATGTTTTTAAATAAATTGGTCTTACACTTCATATTTTCTTAACTTTTATAGTATACAGTTGAAATCATTATTAGCGCCCCTTTGAATTGTTTTTCTTTTTTTAATATTTCTTAAATAATGTTTAACAGAGCAAGGAAATTTTCACAGTATTTCTGATAATATTTTTTTCTTTTAGAGAAAGTCTTATTTGTTTTATTTTTGCAAGAATAAAAGCAGTTTTACATTTTTTTAAAAACATTTTAAGGCCAAAATTATTAGCCCCTTTAAGCTATGTTTTGTTTCTATAATCTACAGAACAAACTATCATTATACAATAACTTGCCTAATTAATCTAACCTGCCTAGTTGACCTAATTAACCTAGTTAAGCCTTTTAATGTCACTTTACACTTTACACTTTACTTTATCTAGTAAATTATTATGTACTGTCATCTTGACATTTCATTGTTAATCAAAATAAGTTATTAACCGTATTATGTTTAAAAATGTTGAAAAAGTCTTCTCTCCGTTAAACAGAAATTGGGGAAAAATAAACAGGCGAGCTAATAATTCAGGGCATTTAATAATTCTGACTTCAACTGTTTGTATTCATTCCGGTATTTTTACAATAAACCGACATATCTACCATTCGGTAGAGGTTTGATATTTTAGAAATTATAGGATGTGTTGAAAAAATGCACAGTTAGGAGTTAAGAAATGCAATCCAAAATATTTTTTTCTTGGAGGGGCAGTTAAAGGCTTAACATAAGAAATCAAAACTATATTCATTGGTAAATATTTCCTCTCTTAGTCTAAATGTAATTTTTTTCCAACATTTTTTGTGATAAAATTGAATATGCTTTAAACTGTCTAAAAAGTAAGATCGAAAATTCAATGGTGTAGAAATTAAATTTCAAAATCACCCTATAATCTTTCTGTAAATGGAATCAAATGTCATTCCCACATGCTGTTTAACATATGCACTTTCTGACATTTATTTACATTTAAAATGTAAATTATACTTAAGGGATAAATGTTAACCCAGTTACAAATGCATATAAAAAGAGACAGCTCTCACACCTTTTTTGTGCAGTACAGAATGAGTTATAAGAGCAGGAGTAAATGGCCAAGAACAAAAGCACAGCACTGGTGGTAAGTCATGTGTGATTAATAATGTTTAGAAGAATGTGTAGTAAAGTTAATGACTGTAATTGGTCATTGAAGTCATTAGCTGCTGGCCCTGCTTTGTAAGTGGGAATTTAAGAAGTTTATTAAACAAACCCACATTAGGAAAACAAAGCATGAAATCAAGTAATAAAAAGTGCATCTGAGAGATGTAAATACAAAGTCTACTTGTAAAATTTGAGATCTCAGAAAAAACTATTAAAGAAAAAAACATTTAATATGAAAAGCTTTAGTTACATTGTAAGCAAGTGTGTGTGTGTGTGTGTGTGTGTGTGTGTGTGTGTGTGTGTGTGTGTGTGTGTGTGTGTGTGTGTGTGTGTGTGTGTGTGTGTGTGTGTGTGTGTGTGTGTGTGTGTGTGTGTGTGTTATATATATATTAGCCTCCTTTGAGTTTTTTTTTACTTTTTTAAATATTTCCCAAATGATGTTTAACAGAGCAGGTAAAATTTCCACAGTATGTTTGATAATATTTTTTTCTTTTGGAGAAAGTCTTATTTGTTTTATTTCGGCTAGAATAAAAGCAGTTTTGGAATTTTTAATCACCATTTTTGTGACAAAATTATTAGCCCCTTTAAGCTAATTTTTTTCGATAGTCTACAGAACAAACCATCATTATACAATAACTTACCTAATTACCCTAACCTGCCTAGTTAACCTAATTAACCTAATCAAGCCTTTAAATCTCACTTTAAGCTGTATAAAAGTGTCTTGAAAAATATTTAGTCAAATATTATTTACTGTCATCATGGCAAAGATAAAATAAATTAGTTTTCAGAAATAAGTTTTTAAAACTATTATATTAAGAAATGTGCTGAAACAATCTTCCCTCCGTTAAACAGAAATTGGGGGAAAAATAAACAGTGGCGTTAATAATAATTTAGGGGGGCTAATAATTCTGACTTCAACTATATATATATATATATATATATATATATATATATATATATATATATAAAATTTATTATTTTATTATTATTATTTTTTTTGCTTCAATAGTTTTTCTGATGTCTCAAAATGTGTGTATTAATGGTCAGAATAAATAAAATTAATGATAAAAATTATAAAACCAACGTTGGGCGAAGCAGCGGCGCAGTAGGTAGTGCTGTTGCCTCACAGTCAGAAGTTCGCTGGTTCGGGCCTCGGCTTTTTTTTGTGGAGTTTGCATGTTCTCCCTGCGTTCGAGTGGGTTTCCTCCGGGTGCTCCGGTTTCCCCCACAGTCCAAAGACATGTGGTACAGGTGAATTGGGTAGGCTAAATTGTCTGTAGTGTATGAGTGTGTGGATGTTTCCCAGAGATGGGTTGCGGCTGGAAGGGCATCCGCTGCGTAAAAACTTGCCGGATAAGTTGGCGGTTCATTCTGCTGTGGCGACCCCAGATTAATAAAGGGACTAAGCCGACAAGAAAATGAATGAATGAATTAACGAAACCAATGTTTTTCATTAATATGAATATTTACAGCATAACCAGATCACTGTAACAAGACAAACAACTAGTTTAGAACACACTAGGACGTATCATTGCCATTATTCTTTCGGATTTACCTCAACACAGAATGAAACTGGATCTAAAACTGCTCCAGGTGAGGCTCGAACTCACAACCTCGGCATTGCTCTGCATCGTACTGTCTTATAAGTACCGCGCGCTAACCGATTGCGCCACTGGAGCGTATCTTTGTGTGCAACACTGTTTATCTAAGAATAATCCATCCAAATTTTCGTCATGACAATAGAACGAAGCTGGTGTTTCCATAGCTTAAAAAAATAATGTTACACTGATCTGGAGGTTCAAAGGAAGTGATGCTGTCAAACAACTTTCGTTGGATTCAAAAACAGTTTATTTAAAAAAATAAAAAAAATTCCCACTGAGTTTCAGCTTATTAAATGTCCTAGGCTATTTGTGAATGGATACAGTAGGTTCCTTAGTTTGGTTTACCACCAGTTGAGCTGTACCGCCCCCTTGTGGTGTCTATTCCTTCTTAGTTGGTGGCAGTTTTCTGGTATTTTTAAAACCCTTTTTTAGCAGTTGGTAGCAAACTAGTGGTCAGTGTGGCACTGAATTACATGGTTTTCTTAATTTTGTTACAGAGAGTGTTAAACTTCAACAGACCTAGAAGCATTAATCCATTTGTCATGTTTAGTCATAGCATAAATTACAGTTCATGCATCATATTAGCCTCAGTCAACAAGAAGAAATAATATCTTTAAAATATATATATATATATATATATATATATATATATATAGAGAGAGAGAGAGAGAGAGAGAGAGAGAGTTGCCATTTTCTAAAAGAACCAATGAATGTTGCTTTCCTCGATATGCAAAAAATCTAATAATAAAATAATTTCTTACACAGTTCAAGCTGTAATTATGTCGCATGCTTTTAACAGCTCTGGAGAGTTTTTTTTTTCATTTAAATTTATTACCACTTAAATATTTCATTGGAAATATGAAAAGAGTGGGCGACGCAGTGGCGCACTAGGTAGTGCTGTTGCCCCACAGCAAGAAGGATGCTGGTTTGAGCCTCAGCTGAGTAAGTTGTCGTTTCTGTATGGAGTTTGCATGTTCCTCCGGGTGCTCCGGTTTCCCCCATATGTATGTGAATGAACGTGAATAAATGTTTCCCAGTGATGGGTTGCGGCTGGAAGGGCATCTGCTGCATAAAAACGTGCTGGATAAGTTGGAGGTTCATTCCGCTGTGGCGACCCCAGGTTAATAAAAGGACTAAGCCGAAAAGAAAATGAATGAATATGAAAAGGGTAGAGTTAAAATGATGGGTAAAGATTATTGATCATATGCATGCATATTTAATTTTT